ATTTTGTATCTAGTTTTAGATTATATATTGCTGGCCAACAAATTTCATTGCTACCATTTTGGACTTGCATAATTTGTAGTTAAGAAAACTATGATCATCTTAATTATTTGAGTGCTGCATTTTCAATTTTAGCAGCTGAGTTGGAATGGTTACTTTTCTTGATTACATACATTGAATTCTTGATCCTTGCTTAATTTGGGGAAGGAGTATCTCCTGTGTACTGTTCTTTTGTTTTCTACTTTGTGAGGCTTTATTCAATCAGGTAAGTAGTTGATTTTGTAATAGAAATGTGATTTAAAATCTGCAAATTTTGTTTATGTGGTCTAGGTATTGTTGAAGTGATAATAATGACTAAAAAAGCAGTCGTTGCCAAATTGAGTTCACTTAAACAATTTAACATGTAGAAAGTTTTTCTATTTAAGAATGCAATCAAATATCTGATTTTTTTGCGAGTTTAAAAAATATATTCTCCATGCCGAAGTGTCTTTCGGGTATATTGAGATTTGAAAGTTTCTTGTACACTGTTACTTCATATTAATGCTTGACTGTAATTTGTTTAGATATATTGCTATGCTGTACTGTTTCTGTAGTTATTCTATTTGGCTTGACTTCTGTTAGGTGTTTTAATGCACCAGGAGTACAGTTTGCTTGATTACGAAGAGAAAGTGGTTGATGGTTTCTATGATGTGTATGGGCCTTCCTCAAATTCAGCACTCCAAGGAAAAATGCCATCTCTTGCAGATGTTGAGACAAATCTTGGGAATTATGGCTTTGAAGTTGTGATTGTCAATCGAACAATTGACCCTGTCTTAGAAGAGTTGGTGCCAATTGCGCATTGTATTGCATTAGATTGCCCTGCTAGTAATGTTAGTGTTTTAGTCCAAAAGCTTGCCGAATTTGTTACACGCCACATGGGTGGACCTGTTAAGGATGCTAATATAATGTCGGCAAGGTGGATGGAAAGGAGGACAGAATTGAGAACATCTCTTCATACAAGTTTGTTGCGTATTGGGTCCATTAATTTAGGATTGTGTCGGCATCATGCTTTACTTTTCAAGGTTAGTTATTTTGTTTTTTTGCAAATAATTAGGAACTTACGCAGCTTTGTTGAAAGTAATGTAGAGCATATTACGATTAACTTGCTTACGTGGAAAATTTGAATATTTAATTAAAATAAAATATAAGAACATGGTTAAAATAGCCTTTTCATCAACCTCTCACCTAACCCTTTCTCAGTTTTTCTTCTTTCTCTCTTTCATCTCTTAAATCAGTTTTTCTTCAATGGAACACATTGAAGAAGAAAATAGGATTTTTTTTTTCTGGTTTACTCGAAATGGCTGCACTTAGAGTTTTCTCAAGAACCAACATGTTGAGACCGAGAGGGGATTGGGCGTCGAGACCAAGAAGAGCTGATTTTTGGATGAAATTTCATATCCAGACCTGCTTTCAGATGGAAATTGCAATTTCAGCTTCTGATTTTGATTCTAATCCTTCTCAAGCTTTATAGATGTTGGAG